CTCTGTTCTTTGCCTTATGTTCAAGAGTCTCTTCTTTTATCTTATTCTGCTTCCTGAAATATTTCAGTGTCAACCAGTTCCTTTTGGCACAGTGACTCTGTGTATTCCCTCCACCTTCTTTTGAAGCTTCCTGGATCATTCAGGCTTTCCTCCCAGCAACTCTCAGTATTGCAACGTGAGATCTGAATTCCCCACCCCACCCCAGTTCTTTCCGCTTGAGAAATGCTGACAGCACCTAACAGCAAAAAGAGTTCAAAAGCTGTGACCTGTTGGCTCATCTCTGAGCTACCCAGGAAAGTTAGACAGGGTGAGTGGGGGACCATCTCTCTAAAAAGCTTGCTAACTGGACATGGTTCACAACACTGAGTTTTCCCCCCAGAAGGTGAAGAGAAACCATAACCTAGTCTCTCTCTTTGTTTTCTCTCACCTTCTTTCTCTCTCTTACTCTTTTCTCTAGAAATGCATTTAGGTATATGATTCTGATAATCCCAACCAAAGAGACTAATACTGGCTGGCCTGGGGCCTACCTCTGTGTGAATATGTGCCCAGTGGAGTAAGGCAAACCCAATCAGCTACAACCTGCCAGGCTGAAAAAGGAGCTCCATACATTCTGCACACAGAGATGCTAAAGTGTGTGAAAGGTGTATGTGCTGATTCCCTCAAAAGAGCCCTTGGCAGCAAGCCCACCTTGCCAATATCCCGGTGGTACCCTGACCACAGGCAGGAACATCAGAGCGTCCACACACTTTTGGGAGCCAGACTTTGCAGAGAAGGAGCCAGTCGTCATGGTGCGTTAGGAGATAAGGTGGAGAAACAGCAAGCACGAAGAGGCTTTCTGTTGGCAGATCTGTTTGACACGCTTTTCCCTAAAAATGTGCTGATTACGAACTAAAGTATCTGAAAGGTAGGTGAGAGAGGAGAATCTGGAGAGGATCGGGGGTCACCAGAGGAGAAGAGAAATAGATCGAAGATTCTGGCCTGCACAGAGGTGTTGGGAACCACAATTACAGGTATAGCAATATGGGGTAAAGGGAGAGTTAAGCACTGGCTAGAACTGCTGGCCTGGTGGCAAGGAGCTGGGCTGCCAACTCAAAAGCAGGCAGTTTGAATCCACCAGCTGGAAGAAGGGTCATCTCCTCTCATGCTCTGTTGCTCAGATCCACCTCAATAGAGCATAACAATTGTTGAGGTATATAATTTCTAGGGAAGTGCATTTCTTTTTTGAAATCTCAGAGGCTGCGCGCACCACATTGTAGCTCCACCTGACTTTGTTCCTTTTCCTCTCTACCAGCAGGAGGTGAAGCTGGACAGGTATTTGAGGGCTCTGCTCAAGAAGAGGACTGGGGTGCTGACTCAGATGCACGTGGCCTAAGTAAAGGCCTTGGAGCAATGCTCGCCCAAGTGCTCGATAGCCCAGAGGGCCTCTGCTGCTGTCGCAAGATGCCTGGTTCTGGACACAGACCCGCCTCCCTGTACTGGAGAGGAGTCATCTGCGCCCTGGGAGGCACAGGCCCCGCGAGGGGCTCTGTCACATGTCCCTGGTACCACATGTGCAGGCGTTGTGGCAAGAGGACCTGTCTGTGTGGGAGGCTCCGGACATGCAGCTGCAGCTCCTGGGGCTCAGGAGGACTGGTTTGCAAGCCCCACCAGCTATGCCCCTCTCAAGTCCTGAGCCCTTGAGGGCAGGAGCTGCTCTGAGATCACTAAGTCCCCATCCTGCATGACAGAAGAAGGGGACCGCCCTGAGGCTGCAAGCAGTCATTGGGCCACCAGCTCTGCAGAATAGGGGAGAGACAATAATTACAGCAGGGGGATCCGCCTGACCTTGGCTTTGTAGAGGGGCCACAAGGAGAGGATCCCCACCTCTCCCTCAAGCTCATCAGCAGCCCCTCACTTCTTCCCAGGGGGGCCTGGGGTGGCCCTGGAGGTGACCACACTTCTCCAGCTGCATTTTTTCTTTGCAGTCGGAACTTACTCCTGCAGGACAGCAGTGTGACAAGACATCTTGGGGAAAGACCCTCCCAGTGCCCAGCCCCTCCCAGTGCCACACACCTCTCTCCTTCTATGCAAGGGTTATCTGTTCCTCAGAAACACAGTCAGAAATCAATACCTGAGGGAAGCAGAAGTCCTCTCATGCTCATTTGTAAAATCCTTTTAAGCAACTCTATTTACCCCTACCCCTACACAAACATACACACAATCTCTCCCTCTCTCCCCTCTTTCTTTCCCTCTCTCTCCCCCTCCCTCTTCCTTTCCCTTTCTCTCTCTCCCCCCACCTCTTTCTCTCTCTTTTCCCTTCTCTCCCTCTTTTTCCCCCACCTCTTCCCCCCACTTCTCTCTCTCTCTCTCTCCCCTTGAAAGGCTGAAAAGGGAGCCGTGTGTGGAATTTAGGGAAGTGATGACACACATAACAATGCTGTTACACCTGGCTGCTGCCTGGCTGAGCAGCGGAAATGCCTTCATGGGAGAGAGAGACAGAGAGCCAGCCTGGGTGGTCAGAAGCAAGGTAGGGCCTGACCCAGCTGTTCCCCACCCCAGCCAGGCTCTGAGAATATGGCACTGGGGCCCATCTGCAGCAGTCCCAGACCCAGCTCACACCAATCCCACCCACAGCCCGGCCATAGATGGGGTGAAGAAAACCAAACAAAACAAACTACACGAGTCCAAAGCCTACACTTCTACTCAAGAAGTGGCCACAGAAGTTTTAAAGATGTGAGATGTGCTGCTGGCTCCATCTATGTGAGAGGCTGCCCAGGAAAGCACTGGATATTGAGGTGCGCTGAGATGTTGCCTCTCTGGGGTGAGCGCAGTATTTCCTGGGGTGCCTTCTGAACTGCCTTGTTCTCTCCCATTCCTGCAATCCGACCAGCCTCCCTCCTTGCTCCTCTGACACCTTCTAGGGGTTGAATTCCGTGGAGTTCCACAACCCTATTGGCCTTTTCTTTCATCTCAGTATTCAGGTTAATGGCCTGTTGGAACGGGAAGCAAGCAAGTGGTGACACAGAGGGGACCTGTGGATGCTGGGTCACCACCCACTGTGGCCTTCCCAGGTTTTCTGAAGACTCTCAGAGACTGGACAGTCTGAGAAGGGGTAACGACAGGCATGGTCTGCTCATTCTAGACACACCAATCAGCAGCGCACCTGCACAACACCCATTGTGTCCACCTTCTGCACAAAGCATCTTAGCTCCTCTCTTAAGAGATAAGGAGTTTGAGACCTGAAGACTGAAAACTCTCTTCTTCTTTCTCTTCTCTCCTCCACCACTATGTTGTCGTCGTCCTCCTCCTCCTCCTCCTCTTCTTCTTCTTCTCTCTCCCCTCCCTATCTCTCTCTCTCCCTCTCCCTCCCCCCGCCCCACCCCGTCTCTCACTTTGCAACTGCAGAGGCTGGGTCTGTGCTAAATTAGCCATCAAATGTCAAGCTTGACTTTCCCCCCAGAACCCTCTGATGGCTCCTGAGACAATCCAAGTGCATCATGATGCAATCCCATGGTCTCAGTAAAACTTCTGAAAACAGACAAGGTCAGTGCTGGAAGAGATCAGCACAGGAGGGAAACTGGACCAAGTACCTCTTCTCGGGACTGGGTTCTCTCCCTGGGTTCTGACAGAACATATACATGGAGAGGGAAAGAGACAGGAAAAATAAAGGAGAGAATTGGGGGGAAGATGCTGTATCTGTGAGCCACGTCTACTCCGATAATGGGATAAATAGAAATGCGTTTTAAACCGTAAATATCAAGTCGATATGTTGTGCGTGTACAGAGCTGTTTCTGCCTCAGCCCAACTACACGTGCACAGCTAGTACAAGCCTCCTCCTTCGTTCCATTTGAGTTACCTGTGAATGCGCGCAGACGCGCGCACAGTCCTCCAAAACCTCGCTAAAACACCCACAACTGTGTGGCTGCAAGAGAAGAGATGGGCGTCAACTGGGGATTAGAGCATACACGCAATCCTCATTCAAAGCCGCGGGTTTACCACTCAGAGAGGCCTGGTCTTTAAAACCCAAAGCAGCTCAATTAAAGACTGAAGACTGCAGGCTGCGCCCCTAGGCGCCTCCTCGCAGCCGCCCTTCCCCGCCTGCCCTCTCAGCCCAGAAAAGAGAACGCAAGGCACAGGACAAGCCGAGGTTTCTTCATTCTGTGACAAGTCGCTTACACGCTAGTTTATCCGAAACCTGGAAGCCACCGAGTTGCCCTCTCCCGCATCCAACCCCCTTCAACGTCCCGCCCCTCTCAACTCCGAGTTAGAAGTTTGGCCCCAAGAAAACAGCTCTGGGCAAAGCGAGGTAAAGAAATCTATTCCTTTCACCTGAAAGGCCTGGAGCGCCGCTGGTCGCCGGAGCCGGATCTCCCTGTGCTGGAGACCCCGCCGAGGCCTCGGAGTCTCCCGGCTTGGTCCCCGCTCCATCCGCCCGGCGAGCCCTAAGATTCCACAGGCTCGAACTTGGGTGAACTTGAGCCAAACTGTCCCCATGGCCCCTGGAGGCTCTCCGAGCGGGGACAGGCCAGTCCGGGCTAAGCGGGGCGTTTACTAAAAAGTAACTTGGATCTGAAGTCGCCCGTGCGCGGCTGGGCGCCCCGCTATAGGGGCGAAGGAGCCTGACGCAAGCGGAACTCTGCAGAGCCCATACGAATCAGAACAGAGAGAGGCTCCTGGCGCACTGGGAACTCCAGGAGGCAGCTCCGCCGGAGAGGTGGGTCCTGCCTCGGGAAGCCGGGGGGCTGGGGAGGGAGGAGGAGAGCGCCGCCAAGAAAACCCACCGAGGCGGGGATTGGCCCCGCGGGGAGGGGCGCGGGGCCGGAGCCCTTCTCTGTTGGGCGGGCTCCCCATGGCCAGAGGCTGAGCCCCACTCCCGTCTGCCGCTCCCTAGGGGAAGAGAAAGAAGAGGCAAGAGGAGCGGGAGGCCGGGCGAGCGCGCCGGGCTGACTCGTCGTCGTCTGTACACGTTGGGGAATCGCGCTCGGGGACACAGCTGCGCTCCAGCGCCGAGGGCTTTTGTCATGATGACCAGCTACCCCGAGCACGAGGACGCCGCGGGGGCCCTGCTGGCTCCGGACACCGGCCGCTCAGCCAAGGAACCCGAGGCGCCGCCGCCGCCGAGCCCGGGCAAGGGCGGCGGCGCGGCGGCCCCGGAGAAGGCCGACCCCGCGCAGAAGCCCCCGTACTCGTACGTGGCGCTCATAGCCATGGCGATCCGCGAGAGCGCCGAGAAGCGGCTCACGCTCTCGGGCATCTACCAGTACATCATCGCCAAGTTCCCGTTCTACGAGAAGAACAAGAAGGGCTGGCAGAACAGCATCCGCCACAACCTCAGCCTCAACGAGTGCTTCATCAAGGTGCCGCGCGAGGGCGGCGGCGAGCGCAAGGGTAACTACTGGACGCTGGACCCGGCCTGCGAGGACATGTTCGAGAAGGGCAACTATCGGCGCCGCCGCCGCATGAAGCGGCCCTTCCGGCCGCCGCCCGCGCACTTCCAGCCCGGGAAGGGGCTCTTCGCGGCCGGGGGCGCGGCGGGCGGATGCGGCGTGCCGGGCGCGGGCGCAGACGGCTACGGCTACCTGGCGCCCCCCAAGTACCTGCAGTCCGGCTTTCTGAACAACTCGTGGCCGCTGCCCC